GGAGTCCCCCTGCCCCCTTTCTCACTGTATCTCCACGCGGGACCTCATTCCAGGCTCCGTTAGTCCCGCTGCCCACAGCTCACGACGATGCCTCTAAGCAGCTCATTCTCGGCATTCCCTCAGCTCTGGGCTACATACCAGCTCTGATTTCAGGGCTCACCTGTGAAGAGTTATGCACTCCTGTCAACACAACAGAACTCCTGCTGCTTCCACTGTATTGTAAGCATTTTTATTCACAGAAGTAAAAAAAGAAAGAAAACCAAGACAATATGAGGAAACCAGTGTAGCAAGAAGTGCTCAGGAGCAAAAGAGAGACAGATTGCCTTTAGATTGTGTTTTGTGAAAGCAGGGGTGTGTCATCAGAAAAGGGGCTGGGAAACAGGACTCTGGGGTTCTCTGCTTTCTTTCTAAGAAAGGCTGCTTCCAGCTTGTCCTGTTACACAGAGAGAGTGACTTTCCCAGTCTAGTCCCCACGCACCTGTGGGTGCAGAGGCTCCTGAGGTGATTCTGAGCAGGTGGAGCCAGGAGGCTGAGCCTGAAGGACCAGACCACTGAAGTGGCGGGAAGAGGGGCTCCAGGAAGAGGGGCGACTAGGAGCTGGGAGGTGAGGCCAGGACGGGTTTCCTGCTTTGAGGGGAAGGAATGCCTTGGCTCTGGTGGGAAAAGGGCGAGGGCAGCCGTGGGGTTAGAAACGCCTTAGGTGTCCGACATCACTGTTCCCTCCTCACGTTCCTGCCGGTGCTCAGTGACAAGGGGAATGTTCATCTTTCCAAACGCCAGCTCGTGGTTTCCTTGGTATTTTCTATTGTTTTTCTGTTTATTTTTTAAATAATGTATTTATTTTAATTGGAGGCTAATTACTTTACAATATTGTAGTGGTTTTTGCCATACATTGACATGAATCAGCCATGGGTGTATTGTTTTTCTGGCCCTTATTTCTTTTATTTCCACTCTGTTCTTTCTTATTTCCTTGTAGTTGCTAACTTTTGCCTGTTTGGGTTTTGTCTTGTTTAGTTCCATGTGGTAAAAAGTTAGCTTGATCATTAGAATCTTTTTTTCCTTAATCTACGCATTTGTTGTGAAAACATCTCTCTTAGAGAAGCTTGTGCCAAATCCCATAAATTTCAGTTTGTGTGTTTCCATTCATTGTTGTCCAAAAATGCCTTTGGATTTTTCTTTGACCACAGTCTGTTCTGGAGTGGTTGTTTATCTCCATGTATCTGTGAATGCTCCAACTCTCCTGCTGTTATTGGCAACTTGTTTCATATCACTGTCTTTGGAAAAGATACTTTATGTGATTTCAGTCTTAAATCTGTTAAAGACTTTTTTGGGGGACTTCCCTGGTGGTCCACTAGTTAAGACTTTGCCTTCCAAAGCAGGGGATGCTGGTTCGACCCCTAGTCGAGGAGTTATGATCCCACATGCCTCTTGGCCAAAAAAACAAAACATTTAAAAAAAAAAAGAAGCAGCAGCAACATTATAACAGAGTCAATAAAGACTTTTTTAAAAAAGACCTGTTTGGGTCCAAACATGTGCTCTGATCTGGTGACTGTTCTGTCCTCTTGAGAAAAATGTGTCTTTTACTGCTGATGGGTAGATGGGTCAGGTTAGGTCTATAAGGTCCAACTGTTCTAATGTGTAGCTTGGTCCAGTGATTCCATGTTGATTTTCTGTCTGATGAAAGTGGGGGTATTGCAGTCCCCACTGTGACTGTGTTTCTCACTTTTGGTCTGGTAATGTTTGCTTTATCCTTTAGGCGCTCTGAGGTTGAGTGAGAACTTTATAGGAGGCTTGTCTATGGACTGGGGTGATGATTGCAATCTCAAGTATAACCTTTATGTGCACTGGGAAGCCAAAAACGTGTATGATTCACTTTTTCATGACATTGACTTTATTGCTGTGGTCTGGAACCAAATTCACAACGCCTCTCAATTATGCCAATATTTCTGCTGTGAACCTCAAAGAACCTCAAAGTTTCTTCCCTTTGGGCTGAACTTGTTATTCTTTTATAGTTCTTTGAGGCATAAGGCTATTCTGTTTATTTGAGACTTTTCTTCCTTGTTCATATAGATGTCCATTGCTATCAGTTCAGCTCTTAAACTGCTTTCCATAAGTTTTGTTATCTTGTATTTCCACTTTCATTTCTCTGAAATCTTTTTTTCCTTTTTGATTTTTCATTTCATCCACAAAGTTTAATCTCCACACATTAGTGATTTATCCTATTTTCCTCTAATAATTGTTTTGAAGTTTCATATCATTGTGGTTGAAAAAGATGCCTGAAATGATTTCAGTCTTCTTAAATATGTTACGACTCACATGGAGAATGGTCCACATCCACTTGAGAAGACTATTTTCTGCTGCTGTTGGATGCTTAAGTACATCCGATCTCATATGTAGTTTAAATCCAATGATTCTTTATAGATTTTCTATATGATTGCCCTATCGCTGAGTCTGGAATTGATGTCCATATTATCATTGTATGATTGCCTATTTTCCCCTTGATTTCTGTTAACAGGTGCTTAATATATTGAAGTACTCCAAGTTTGGGCTTACAGACATTTACAGTTGTTCTATTTCCTTGATGAATTGATGTTTGTCATTACGTAATGGCCTCCTTTGTCTCTTGTTGCATGTTTTGGCTTACAGTCTATTTTGTCTGAGATGACTACAGTTACTCCTACGTTCTTTTCCATTTCCCTGGACTGTATTTTCCATCCCTTCTCTTTAGGTCTATGTGTGACCAGTGAAAACTGATTTTTTGTATTACATAGTCCTGTGGGACTCAAGTAGGCTGAGTACCCTTGATGTTGGGGCAAGGTGATTGGAGGGTCCACCCCTTGGGGGTCAGCCACAAAGGTTGGGGCATAAGATGTGTGGACAGGCCCTTTCCAGGCAGACGCTGGAGGCTTGATTTTACGTTTGGATCAAGCCAGAGGGAGAATGTGGAAACAGTGTCCACTTGCTCCTTCAGTTCCCCAAGAGCATCCCAGTCAGCTACTGGATGCAGGGTTAGATGCCAGAGCCTCAGGCAGCAGTGGACAGTGTGTGCCGTCCAACTCAAAAGAGGTGGTGGGTGCCCAAGCCTATTCCTGCTGCACTGAGCCTGGGGCTGAGGCCATGGGGAGTGGCAGTAGGTCCGTTTCACCACTGCTCTTTTACTTCCTTAGTCCTGTGGGGCTCAGCGATGTCCATCTGCACTGAGCCTGGGGCTGAGGCCATGGGGAGTGGCAGTAGGTCCGTTTCACCACTGCTCTTTTATTTCCTTAGTCCCGTGGGGCTCAGCGATGTCCGCTGCACTGGCTACCAGAACTAAGTGATCTGAGGGCCTCTTCCTCTGAGGCCAGCCTTTAAAGTTAAAATGCTCAACATCACTCATCATCAGAGAAATGGAAATCAAAACCACAATGAGGTGCCATCTCATGCCAGTCAATGGGTGCTATCAAAAAGTCTACAAACAATAAATGCTGGAGATGGTGTGGAGAAAAGGGAACCTTCTTACACTGTTGGTGGGAATGCAAACTAGTACAGCCACTATGGAAAACAGTGTGGTGATTCCTTAAAAAAACTGAAAATAGATCTGCCATACGACCCAGCAATCCTACTGCTGGGCATACACACCAAGGAAACCAGAACTGAAAGAGACACGTGTACCCTAATGTTTATCGCAGCACTGTTTACAATAGCCAGGGTATGGAAGCAACCTAGATGTGCACTGGCAGATGAATGGATAAGAAAGTTGTGGTACATACACAGAATAGAATATTACTCAGATATTAAAAAGAAAGCATTTGAATCAGTTCTAATGAGGTGGGTGAAACTGGAGCCTGTTATACAGAGTGAAGCAAGTCAGAAAGAGAAACGTGAATACAGTATACTAGCGCATATATATGGAATTTAGAAAGATGGTAATGATAACCCTACATGCAAGACAGCAAAAGAGACAGAGATATAAAGAACAGACTTTTGGACTCTGTGGGAGGAGGCGAGGATGGGATGATTTGAAAGAATAGCATTGAAACATGTATATTACCATACGTGAAACAGATGACCAGTCCAAGTTCGATGCATGAAATAGGGCACTCAAAGCCGGTGCACGGGGACAACCCAGAGGGATGGGCTGGGGAGGGACATAAGGGGGTTCAGGGTGGGGGACACACGTACACCCGTGGCTGACTCATGTCAATGTATGGCAAAAAACCACCACAATATTGTAAAGTAATTAGCCTCCAACCAAAATAAATTAATTTAAAAAGTTAGAGTGCTGGTATGAGGTTCAGATCCGTGACAGAGAAGCAAGGCATTGGGGGTTTCATTGTGATTGGAAGGCACTGTGCTGGGCGTGGGGTTCATGGTGAGCAGGTGTCCCAGAATTCCCCACCCATTTTGACATGGGGATTTCTAACTCATCCGATATGTACAAGTCATTCAATGTACAAGTCATTCTGCATTTCTCTCAAAGGAACTGATCCATGTGTGAGCATTTTCGCTGTGTCCATGGGAGGAAGGAGCCTCCTGTGTGGCCATGTTGGTGACATCACCATGACATCACCCTATGCATTCTTGTAATAAGCAAGATGATCGTGAATTCTAAAGGGGTAGAGTTTGTCTTTATCTCCTGTCACTTATTCATATACTTGTTATATATTTTAAAAATTATTATGGGTCAAGAATGTTGTTGAACAAGACAGACATGGTCCCTACGTTCATGGACCTTACTCACACGCGTGTGGAGAACAGGAATACACGAATCAATAGGAGTAAATAAAAGTTTATGATGGTGAAAGGTATAACTAATGTCAAATGTATGTTCTCTAGGTGAAACCATTTCTCTGAAGTATGACAGTGTCTTTTCTTCTCAAGAGAGCTGAAGAGTGAGACTCCCTTCCCTAGCTGGTTCTGTAAGAGGACTGCTGATATCATCACTGCACAGCCTCTCCTCTGCTCCAGGCCCCTCTGACAGCCACTCCATGTCTTTTGAGAAAGATGTCCATATGACCACAAGCCAGGCAGCTCTGAAAACCATGTATCTTTTACAGATGGGAGTTGGGTCTCTGGCCAATGTCATCCTTTTTTTCTACCACATCTCTTCTATATTGTTTGGATATAAGAAGAGACCCACAGACATGATTCTCACGCACACGGCTGTGGCCAACCTTCTGGTTGTTCTCTCCTCGGGCATCCCCCATACAGTGGCAGCTTTCACGTCAAGGAAGCCCCTGTCTAGTCTCGGCTGCAAATTTGTGTACTATTTACAGAAGGCGGCTCACAGCACCACCCTGTGCTCCATCTGTGTCCTGAGTATCTATCAGTCCTTCACGCTCACCCCTGTGAGAGGAGGGAGGTCACTGCTCAGGGGAGGAGCCCCCAGGGTCACAGGTTCTTTCTGCTGCGCCTGTTGGGTATTCAGTGTTTTAATGTACATCTATGTTCCTGTGAAAATCACTGCTTCACCGAACAGGCACAATTATACGGATATGCAGGGCAATTGGTTCTGCTCGTCCTCAAGTGCCAGTGCAGGGATTGTCATCCTGTGGTCCACCTCAGATGCCGTGTTTATTGGCCTCATGGTCTGGTCCAGTGTCTCCATGGTGCTTCTCCTGCACAGACACCACCAGAGGGTGCAGTATATTCACACCCGCACTGGGCACCACAGATACCCCTCGGAGACCAGAGCCGCCCACACCATCCTGATGCTGGTGGTCACCTTCGTCATCATCTATGTGGCGACTTCTATTCTTGATTTTTATATCACTGCCTTTTTTGATTTTCGACAATGGTTGATACAGACCTCTGATGTCTTGCTTTCCTGTTTTCCCACCATTTCTCCCTTCCTGCTGCTCCTCAGGGATCCTAGAACTGCTAGGATCTGCTCTTGAGTTGTTAGCAGGTGTGACTAAAGTTCTCACTTTAAATTTATTGTATTTAGCAGACAGCTTGAATTATAACAGAAATTATCCTGTAACTACTCAGTACCAAGTTAATTGAGTCATAATAAATAAGTAGCATTACATTAGTCATAATGAATAAGTAATATTACACTATATAAATACTTGTATATGTTGCAAAATGATCACCACAATTCTCCTTACCAACTGTGCATCCCTCCCTACACATGGTAAAAACGCTTTCTTCTGATGAGAACTTAAAAGTTTGAATCCCTCAGCATTTTCCAACAATGCAATGCAGTGTAATCAACTATAGTCACAATGCTGGACATCCCATTCCCATGACTTAATTATTTTGTAACTAGCTGTAGATGCTTGTTGATATTTGTACGTAAAATCCAATGAACAAAGAAGGTTAATTTAATGCAGGTGCTAACTTGGGGTATTTGAAAGTCAATCCATGAAATTATCTGCTGAGAAAAGACACAGGTTATTATTGAGGAAGCCATTCACCCTTGACCATGGCAGCTTTCTGAAAGAACACTCCTTTCTTGTGGATCATTTCAAGAATTTCCACAAACTTTATCTCCATTAGTTGTGGGTAATACGTGGCATACATTGGCCCATGATTCAGTTATTGGTCTCATTAAATATTAATCCATGGTGTGTGGAGATGTTATTTCATAGTGAAGATAAGAAACCTGAAAAGTGAAGAAGGTCTTTTTCTACATTACCTTCTCCTTTAAACCTGGGTTTTCTTTACATAGTCAACCATCATTAAATTTTATTGTTTAGGCAGACACAATAATTGCAAGGACAGACTTGAGGCTTTCCTCTTCATATTTGTCACTTGAATATTTCATTTTCATCCTTGCAAACAGCAACTTGGGATTTATTTTCTGTTTGTCCTATCTTACTATTCCTGTGTTTTATTTTGTCTTTTCTTTGGACATTGTGGTATTTGGTCTGTTCATATTTTCTATTTCTTCCTGGTTCAGTCTTGGAAAGTTGTACCTTTCAAAGGATTTGTCCATTTCTTCCATGTTTTCCATTTTATAGACCTAAGTGGTTTTTTAAGATTTTTTTTAAATTTCTGGGGTGTTGGTTGTACTTTCTCATTTTTCTTTTTGGATTTTATTGATTGAGATCTCTCCCTTTTTTTCTTAACGAATCTGGCTAAAGGTTAATCAGTTTTGTTTTTCTTTTCAAGGAACCAGCTTTTAGTTTCACTGATCTCCTCTATCACTTACTTTTCTCTCCATTTTATTTATTTCTGCTGTGATCCTTATGATTTCTCTCTGTGGGTTTTGCTGTCCTTCTTTCTCAAGTTGCTTTAGGTGTAATACTAGGTTGCTTAGTTTTTTTTTCTAGTTTTGTGGCTTGTATCTGTATAAACTTCCCTCTTAGAACTGCTTTTGTTGAATCCCATAGGTTTTGAATCATCATGCTTTCATTTTCATTTGTCTCTAGGATTTTTTATTTATTCTTTGATTTCTTCAGCAAACCATTGGTTTTTCAGTAGCATGTTGTTTAGTCTCCACGTGTTTGGTGTTATTTTTTTCAGGTTCTTCCTTTTAGTTGATTCTCGTCTCACAGCATTACAATTGGAAAAGACTTTTGAGATCATTTCAATTTTATTAACTTTATTGAAGTTTGCTTTATGACCCAGCTTGTAAACCTCCTGTAGAACAACCTATGTGCCATTTAAGACATTGTGTATTCTGCTGCTTTCATATGGATGCTCAATATATATCAACTATAGACACTAAGGTCTAACGTGTTCCTTTCAGTCTGTGTTTTCTCCTTCATTTTCCGCCTGGGTGATCTATTTACTGATGTAAGTGGAAAGTTGAAATCCTCTCCTATGATTGCGTTTCTGTTGATTTCTCCTTTTATGTCTATCAATATTTGACTTATACTTTGAAGTGCTCCTGTGAAGAACTGATGCTCAAACTGTGGTGCTGGAGAAGACTCTTGAGAGTCTCTTTGACATCAGAGAGTGCAAACCAGTCAATCCTAGAGGAAATCAACCCTGAATATTCATCAGAAGGACTGATGCTGAAGCTGAAGGTACAATACTTTGTCCTCCTGATGGGAAGAGCCAACTCAATGGAAAAGACCCTGATGCTGCAAAAGATTGAGGGCAGGAGGAGAAGGGGACAACAGAGGATAAGATGGTTGGATGACATCATCAACTCAATGGACATGAATTTGAGCAAACTCTGGGAGATATCAAAGGACAAGGAAGCCTGGTGTGCTGCAGTTCATAGGGTCGCAAAGACTCAAACACTACTTAGCAACTGAACACCAACAAATGTTGGTGCATATATATTTAAAATTATTATATCTTTTTCTTCAATTGGTTGCTTGTCCCTTGTTCATTATGTGTGTTTTTCTTTGTCTCTTGACAAAGTCTATTTTATCTCTTATCCAACTCAAATGGCTCAGAACCTAGAGACAGGCTGGTGGTCCAATGAGAATCTCTAGGAGGGGGATCCATGGGTGACTTAGAACAAATTATAATCTCCTTATAGAGTCACGTGGACACAAGGGAGACTTGAGGACTGTGAGGAGGGAAACACTGGCTTCAAAGAGATTATTTTCCAGATTAAACAGACTGAGATCATATATAAAAAGTGTTGTGAAACTTAAATTCAGGGGAAAGACCAGCCTCCAGATCACATGCTGATGATCACTGAGAACACACTTTGGAAAAGTCTGGAAAACTGAGACCATGAAGGAAAATGCCCAGCAGGAAACAGTGAAGGGGGCCCTGGTGCTCTGTGAGTGTCCCTCCCCGTTATGACTTTCACTCTACACTTGGGTTCTCCCACAGGGAACACAGAAAACTCTCCCTGCCCTCTGCTCAGCTGCCCTTGTGGACCTTCTCAGTAATTGCCAGGAGTCGTCACTAGTCCCAGGCGTGGGTGAGGGTGAGGAGCACTGGGGGTAGGATCTGCTCCTCCCTGGAGACGCCCCAGACTCTCCGTGCAGACAGTGTCACCTCCGCTCCAGATGACATGGTAATGGCTCCTCTGTGGGGAGATCGGGCCCAGGGACCCCGTCCCTATAACTGGGGGCCGTCCTGACTGACACTTCCCTGCGCAGAGCGTGGAGCCAAGTGCAGGCAGGTGAGTGCGCCCTTGTGTTCAGTCTCAGGGCAGGAAACGGGAGAGCAGGCTCTCCAGCAGGAGAGGCGCCCAGAGCTGTGCTGTCAGCACCTTGGGCAGGACAGGTGCTCCCGGCCTCGTCCTGAGCTGCCCTGTCCATGCCCTGGCTGGATGGGTGGAAGGTGGGAATGTGCTGGGGTTGTATCTGAGTGGGACCAGAGACATGAGTTCACTGTAAATCCTGTGTCCTGGGATCCCTGAGAATGAGGGGAAGAGGCAGAGGGTCACTGTGGAATCTGTGCCAAGTTCTGTATGAGCAGAGCTCCGGGCTTCTCAATCTTGTATAAAAGGTTCTAGTGACCTCCTGGAACCTAACTGATTAGTGTTGGATGTGAGTAAGGTGAGATAAACTGATGTACAGAGTTTGGGTTAGAACTTGAAAGTCCTAAAATAAGATCCAGTGACAGACACATACAAACAGAAACACAGAGAGAAAGGCTGTCCTGTAACAACCACCTTCACATTTTCCTTCACTGGATGTAGTCGGCTCAGGAACTTCTGCCATGATATTTCACTGCGATTCTCTCTGCATTTGTGTCATGTACGCCAGTGCTGCTCACGTTTTCCTCTATCTAAGTGAATGGCAGATGCCCTCAGCCTTTTTAACTTCAGCAGCTGCCGTTACTGTTTAGTCGCTCAGTTGTGTCTGACTCGTTGCAACCCCAGGGACTGCAGCCCGCCACGTTCCTCCACCCATGGGATTTCCCAGGCAAAAATACTGCAGTGGGTTGCCGTTTCCTTCTCCAACCCCTATGTATAAAATGACAAGTAGTGAGAAGCTTCTGCAGACCACAGGGAACGGTATTCAGTGCTCTGTGGTGGCCCACACGGGGGGGAATCTGATAGAAGCGGGTGAGTATACATGTAGAGCTGATGCACCCTGCCGTACAGTAGAAAGGAACTCGACACTGCAAAGCAACAGAGCTGGAATAAACACATATCCCACCGTGTGATGCACCACAGCTTCCTCATCTGCTCTTCCATCGGTAGACCCGCGGGTTTTTTCCACGTCTCGGCTGTTGTAATAATGTACCAGTGAACATGGAGGGCAGGTATCTCTTCCTGATCTTGATTCCTTTTCCTTGGATCTATCCTAGAAGCACGACTTCTGGCATATGGTAGTTCTGGTTTTAACTTCTGAGGACCTTCCATAACATCTTCCACAAGGATGTACCAGTTTACATTCTCAACAGTGTGTAAAGTGTTTCTTTCTCTCAACCTCCTCACCAGTGTGTTGCCTCTTGGTCTTTGGAGAACAGACAGACTAACAGGTGAGAGATGCTATCTCACTGAAATTTTGATCTGATGACTAGAGATGCTGAACTCCTGTCCATGTACCTTTTAACTCTTTGTATGTTTTCTTTGGAAAAATGTCTGTTCAGGTCCTTTGCCCATTTTTTTTGGGGGGGGGTGGATAAAGGAATTTTAATTCTTTTGTGTTGACATTTGTACAATGATAATGTATTCTATAATTTAAAAAATTTTTAATTAAAAAAAACTAACATATATTTCCCACCCTTGCCCCAGCTATATTTCTTATGTCTGCCATCCTAGTGGTTGATGCCACCATCCCTCTAGCCTGGAAACCTGGACCCCACACTTTGACTACTCATCTCCCTCATGCTCCCATCCAGTCTCATCTCCTGCCCTTTCTACTTTCTGAAGGCATTCGTAGTCCATTTTTTTATACTGAGGTATACCTGATATATAACATGTGTTAGTTTCAAGTATACAACATAATAATTCAATATTTGTACATGTTATGAAATGATCACTGCATACGCCTAGTTAATATCTGTCACCATATACAATTACAAAATT